ACGATTTTCCAGGTTTCAAAAATTAAAGTTGGGAAGAATAAAAAGAAATTTTTACTTGAAACATAGACAAAAAATATATTCTTAAAAATTCAAAAATAAATAAGAGTATCTTCGAAATACCAGAAGTTAAATAAAATTACAATTCACAAACAATTAAAATTGAAAAAACAAAATTTCGAAAAATAGAAACTTAAAAAACCAACTTTTAGAAAAATCCCACTTCAGATTTGTTAAAACTATAATTTAGAATAGTCAAAATTTAACAAAATTAAGAACCTGACAAAAAAATGTTGATAAATAAGAAAATAAAAGGAACAATTTTTCAAATAGCAGAAATTCAGAAAACTAAACTTTGAAAAATATAAACTTGCAAAATCAATTTTAAAAAAGTGTAGTTTAGGTTTGCTACAATTCAAATTTAGAAGAGTAAAAAATTTTAAAACTCGCAATTGAAATGAAAATGAATTTAAAAATGTAAATTTCGGAAAAATAAAAATGAGATAATAAAAATTGTGAAAAATAAAAAAAAATAAGCGGAGATTTTTAAATACCGGAAATTGAATAAAATTGAAATCCTCAAACAATTGAAATTTAAAGAACTAAATTTGGATGAATTAAAACTTGGAGAAATAAATTTCAGAAAATTTTCATTTAAGATTCGGCAAAATATAAATTCAGAAGAGTCAAAATTCAGAAAACTTGGAATGCAAATGAAAATAAAAAGAATGGAGATTTAGAATAATGGGAAACGGAAACTACCTAAAAAGATATTGTAAAAATCAACAAATTAAAAATAGAATTTTGTAAATACAAAAAACATAGAGTAAAGTCAGGCTTCGATGCAAATTCGTTAAAACTTTGCTATTTTCCAGGTTTTAAAAATTAATTCCCTGACTTGCAGGTTTTCTCAAGTTTCAAAAAAATTCCCTGACAATTCCAGCTTCTCCAGGTTTCCACGTAGCGTGGCAACGTTGAAGGGACATTGAGCAATAAAATTTGTTTTTTGTATAGTTAATAACGTCTTTTTTTGACTGAAAAAAATAAATTAAATAAAAAATAATAATAATAATAATAAATTAAATAAAAAAATAAATTACAAATTTAATTCACAAAATAAAATTCATTAAATAAGTTAATAATAAATAGATTAAAAGTTTCCAATAATTTTTCGATTAAAAATAATAAATTCTACTCTTTATTTATTATTTATTGCACAAAAAAATAATTGGAAATTGTTTTCTACTATTTTCAATTTGAGGTTAGACAAAAATTATTAAAAATACTGTTACAAATTTTCAAAATAACAATACTAATATTTACAATACAAATTATTAAAAGGGAAATTGTTTTTACTTACCTTAATTTCTTTATTCAATAAAACTGTCTCACAGTCATCCTTTTAGCAATTTCTTTGTTTACATTCTGTCATAAAATATTTGTTTTGACATTTCAATAACCACTAATAACACTAATTGCTCCATCTCTTGGTCAACCTCTTTCATCATTTACTATTATATTTACCGACATTTCCATTTTTCTGAGGGCGCATGGCGTTCTATATATTTTGTTTACGTTACCATAAGTCGAGCACTCTGAAGTTTAATAATCTCTTGCTTGTATGCCCATCCTGACCATAAGGATTACAACATCTATCAAAATGTGTATTTGATAAAACTTTTGGCATTTTATAGACAAAACTGAAAAATATCTTAAACACTTCAAATAAACAATTAAACACTTTAAATAAACAAGTCAAATAATACAATTGCGGCCTAAGCATTACATACTTAAGGGAAGTTCTGGAACACACGCAGTTTGTCTTGGCACCCACCACCAAAATTTCAATTTGATGATTGATGTAATGGACATTAAAAGTCTGACAATTGAATCAGAGATGCCATTGAAAAATTACAGAGACTGTATCTCACAAATTGTATGTGAAAATGAGACAGATGAATGGCATCTTGATGAATGCAAAAATTGTCCTAGTACGAAAAAAGTATCGAATCATTTGATAAAGTGTTTAGAAGATAATAATATTCGTCAAGTCGAATTCAATCAATGGACAGGAACTGACAGGTGCGCTTTAAACACTCATCTACTTTCTTCGGAAGATTTTGTTGAAGAATTATGTCGAAAGCTTCGAAATTTAAAGATGCATTCTTTTATTGCAAAACAGCAAGCCCAGTACTTTGAAGATCTGAAAAACAATCTTTGTGAAAATCAAGTTTTAGTGATTTTAGATTTTTCCGAAAATTACAAGTATGTGGTACAAGATGCGGTTCAGGATTTTCACTTCAACAACGATCAGTGCACTATATTCACTGCGGTTTGCTATTTTAAAAAGAAACTCTAAATTAGAGCACAAAAGTTTCGTTTTTCTATCAGATAGCACTCAACATGATACTTCTGCAATCTACACCATTTAAAAACTATTAATTCCAGAAATAAAGAAAATTTGGATGTCGAAAGAATAATTTATTTTAGTGACGGTGCTAAGCAGCATTTTAAAAATAGATACCAAATTTGCAGCTTGGTACATCATGAAGACGATTTTGGTATAGTAGCTGAATGGCATTACCATGCAATTGCCCACAGAAAAAATGCATGTGATGGCATTGGTGCTGTTTTTAAAAGAGACGCTGCAAGAGCCAGCCTTTTAGTTAAACCGGCCGAGGCAATAACAACTGCTAATAAGCTATACGATTGGGCTAAGGATAAGTTTAAAAAGATAACTGTTTTTTTTCTATCGAAAAGTGGAATACGAAAAAGTCAAGAGATCTAGGAATGCAAGGTTTAATTCTGCTCCTCCAGTTCCTGAGATTCAAAAAAGTCATTCCTTTACTGTTTTAGGTAACAAAAATTTATTGATGATAAAGTATTCAAATAGCCAAAATGACACTACAATCTTTTATTAGAAGTTTAAAAGAAAACTGAAAACAAAAAAAAATATTAAAAGCCAAAAAAATGTAAAAATTTGAAAAAATAAAAAAAAGTAATGCGGGCATCATTTTGATTATGATGACAGTGTCAACCCTGTAAACACAGAGACCTTTTTTAAAAAATTTTCAAATTTCTAGAAAATCTCTTGAATTTAAAATAGTTTTCGTGACATAGTTAATCAGCCATATTGAATTTTGAAATTCTGACTTCAGATTTGTAATCAGCGACCCCAAAAACCCCCGAATAACAAGTTTCAAGCGAAATAAATTAATTTTTGAAAATTCGCCCGCCAAATTTCAGCCGTCATTTGGAATTTTCAAAAAGTGCCATTCGGCATTTAAAAGTATTCCTTATTACCTAAATTTTAAGTCTATGTCCGATAATTTAAACATAAACCATTTTTGGAGAGCAGGGTAGTCCCGTTGACGAAGAATGTCTCATGTATATTTGGGTTTTAATTGAAAAAAAATTTTCCACCATATTTGATCAGCCATTTTGAAATTAAAAAGTTAAACTTTAAATTATTTCAGGCCAATTGGATCAATTTTTTCAAAAGTCGTCTGCCATATTGGATCCGCCATTTTGTTTTTTGAAAAAATAAGTTCAAATTCGTAGTCAGCGACCCCAAAAACCTCCGAGTGAGAAATACCACCATTTTTAAACACATCTAGGGGTTTGGAAACTTTAAAGGCTATTATCTCAAAATCGTAATTTTTGAGAACTACGGTTACGGTGACTGTGATTTTTTTAAAACCGCTAAACCGTTCGGGCTGAAATTTTCAGGGGTTCTTTATACATACAAAAGCTAGTGCGTGAAAGAAGCAATTTAAATTTGAAATAAAATTAATATTTTTTTGGTAAAAAAACCAAATTTTAAAGCCCTAAAATCACGATTTTGGAGGAAAAATTATCGCCATTTCTAGAAATTTTTTTTTTCAAAACCCTTTGTTCACGCACAAGGTAATATAATATACTAACGAAATTTCCATTGTTTTTAATTTTAATTAAACTCTGTTTGACTTATCGCAGTAACCACAAGCAGTTATCAAAATAATAACTAAATAATTTAAATGTTTCAATCCTGATAAAGTTTGCAGTGATTTAGAATCCTAGCTCTGGCGAGTATATTTCGCGAACAAAAATTTACTATCATCACAACCTTCAATATATAAATTATATAAATTTTAATAAATGGTCTTATCTATTCAAATACAATAGACTGACCCACACAAAAAATATATAATATTTCTTAAATATTTCGTGAATATTTTACTGAAATATTTCTAAAATCAGGGAAATGTCTGCATGTGAAGAAATATTTCAGCGTTTGTCGCATAAATATTTCATTAAAATATTTTGGAATTTTTCAACTTAAATGAAGACAAACTTAAATGGTCGATCTCAGTTTCTATAGCATGTACAGCCACGCAGTATTTTTTAGTTTTTTAGAATCCTATGGACATTGATATGTTAAATAATACCGATTAATTCGTAAGGAAAAATTTTGTTTGAAATTTTTCCTGGATATTACAAAGTCTTAAAATGTAATAGTGCTGGAGTATTAAGCATGGTATTTCAACAAAATTGCACAGTTATATATCTCAATAGGCGGATATTTTCCTGTTTTCATCAACATTCCATGGATTTTGCACTGAAATATTTCAAATCTTTCAATGAAATATTCAGGAAATATTTAGAAAATATAAAGTCTAATGTAAACTAAAATGTAATGCAAATGTAAATCTAATGTCCAAAGTAAAAACCTATAGCAAGTCGCTTCTTCATGAGGGTGAAAATCGTTTGGCCTGTGCTATCAACTTTCTAACTTATCAAAAAATAGACTTACTATGTTTTTACTTTGACCAGCAGATGTGTTGTGTGGCATGCTCAAAGTATTGGTCACTAGACCAATTACCCTCTCAATTAGCAATTATTAAAAAGTTATCTTAATACTCATTGTATTTACTCATCGTTGTTACTCATTTTTTAAAACCATAAATATAAGCTCTATACACAATTATAATTAAGTATTTATCGCAATTCATTTTTTATATTAGGATCAGCATTCTTGCCTAATAAGTCATATTATCGCATCAGTTTCATAAGTACAATGATTTTCAGTCTCTTGATGTATAATTATTATTCAGCCAGTATAATTTCCTCACGTTTAAATGAACCACTTAACAAAATGAATGACTCACTGTTATCACTATCCAAAAGTGAGATGAAAATTGCTTCAGAACATCAAATTTACCTTGACTATTTTCTACAGGTATGTAAATGTAATCAATTTTGTAAAATCGTCGTATTAGCGCAATATCATACCTATTTGGAGAACAAAAGCAAAATAGTGCCTAACTAGAAAAGTGTTAAAATATTTTAGAAAAGGAGGTTAGAACGTATCTAATTGGGAAAAGAGGAAAGAACGTACCTACTCAGAAATTGTATTTTTTGGCAGATTTTAAGTTGGTAGCAGTGCCAATGTAATAAGCCAAGAGATTTCTAAGTAGGCACAGAAACGTCTTAAAAACGTCTCATCTTGTCCGGGGACTATAATAGTAAAGTCTCGAAGACATCATAAAAACAACTAAAAAAAATTTAATAGGACGTCTAAAAGACATAAAAGGGACGTCTAAAAGACGTCTTTTGGACTTCCTTTTTACATCCCTTCAGATCTTTTTAAATAGACATTTCTTTCACTATATTTTCTAAGTTGAAATACAGTAATAATGTATTAAATTTATTTCAAGTTCACTTTTATATTCCTTTAAATTATACAGAATTAATGAAAAAATATCTATGAAGCTGGGATCGAACTTGAATTGTTTATTAATTGAATACACAATTACTACACTGAGAAAAAAATGCTATTGTATCAATGACATATGGGTTTGATTCTTTACCGGGCTGCCTAACGTATATGTCATTGTTTTGAAAACACCGATTTTAATGATTCGATAGTGTCACTGTCATTGAAACATAAGCATATTTATTAAATTGACTGAAAACTATGTTAATATAAAGGTATTTTTATTGAATCAACAGAATATGCTTTTGAATCAAAGAAAGAAGTTTTTAAATTCAAAAGTATATGCTTTCGAATCTATAGAATTTGCTTTTGAGTAAATGAAAAAAGTTCTTAAATTTAACAGCATATGCTTTAAAATCCATAGTATATGTTTTTAAGTCAATGGAAAAAGTTTTTTAATTTAAAGCATATTCTATAGAATCTATAGCATATACTATTGCTTTAATAACACCATGCTATAAATTCAATCCTCTTATGAGCCCAAGTAGCACGATATATCAACCAGATGTCACGGTGATATCACCGGGGAATGTCACCGTGACCTCAGGAAAATGTCAAAATGTCCGCCTTACGGTGATATTACACAGTGACATCGAGGTCATATCATGGTGACATCATGGTGACATCAAGGTGATATCACAGTCATATCAACATGATATCATTGTGATATCACCGTGATATCACTGTGATATCATGTTGATATTTTACAGGGATTTAAAATTTTTAATAATTTAAAAAATAATAATAAATAATAAAAATGATAAAAAATAATAATTTTTAAAAAATTTTACATCCCTGTAAAATATCAACATGATATCACGGTGATAGCATGGTGATATGACTGTGATATCATGGTGATATGACTGTGATATCACCTTGATGTTACCATATCACCTCGATGTCACCATGATATCACCTCGATGTCACCGTGTGATATCACCATAAGGCGGACATTTTGACATTTTCCTGATGTCACGGTGACATTCCCCGGTGATATAACCGTGACATCTGGTTGATATATCGTGCTACTTGGGAGGTTAAATGAAAACAACGGTAAATTAAAAAAACTAATCTAAGCTTGCAAATTATTATTATAGAATAATAATCTTTGTATTCATTCTTTCATTCATTCACATTTTCTTAGTACTTGAATTTTCTTATTATTATTAGATTATATATACTTATATATCTTTACTTTGATAATTAGGGTTCTCGAAGGTTTCTACCTAAAATTTGTTTTGACAAAACAGCTTTCGGTTGAGGGTTTGTAAGATGGTCGATGACCTTTTAAATACTGACCTGAAAGGTGAAGTTTTGTTCCCCACTTTACCAGCCCGGTTCGAACAATCACCATGTGGTTATATGTACTGGAGAATAAAAAGCAAGAACAAAGTTTTTGGTGCCAGCACCTTTGGGTTAAATCGATTTACAGCACATCATGTAGGTTTATTGAATTGAACTAAAATTATAAAACTTTTGAATATTAATATTTATTATTATTGGAGCAATATATACTCGTAATCGTGAACTTCTGAGGAAAACGAATATATCAAAATAAATTTAACAATGTTTATATTTAAAAATTTTATAATTTTTTTGAAAAACTCATTAAGCGTCATAAAATAATATTGTCATCAAGCCCGAGAACGCCACACAGGCTCACCGCTGTAATTGACTTACTCGAGGTCTGAGTCCGAGACAGGCCGATAGAGTGAAGGTATACCACTTCCCTTTACAGGACCCAATCCGTGATCGATCGATTCGTCCAAACAGCCTTGGGTTGAAGGAAATTTTTTTTATTATTGTATATGTGATATAGATGATAACCGTTTAATTCTCGTGAGTGGAAGTGGTGTATCCATACTTAACTTACCAACACCTATCCCCGAGGACGCCACTCAGGCCTACCGTAATATCTGCCTCACGCGAGAACTTAACATAGGCCCGGGTTGGAAGAGTGGGGGTATAACACTTCTCCTCAATGGAGTGAAACGGCTACTGCTGATGTAAGATAAACATAGAGCAACCGTCTACCGTTGCAACAACATTGTAGTAGTGTCGCTAAAAAAAAGCTTCTAATAGTCTCAGGTAACTTAACTTGATTATTATATAGTTTATAATATTTTTCTGTAATTTGTCGATCAATAACTTACTGCATGTGTTGAATCTTCTTATATTATATTTGTCTTTTTCATTTTTGTATTGGGCCCAAAAAATATATTCCTATTTTTGTATAGTATTAATAATTTTATATGTATTTTGAAGATAAAACATTGATTATTAAATAATTTTTTATGCATAAAATATGGATATTGCATAATATTGGTATAAAAGATATTTATTTCTATTGGTTGTCTTAAATGTTTCATATAAAAAATACTTAAATCCATTTAGTTTTTTTGGTATTGGATAACTTTGGCATTAAAGATATTACGATTTTGAGGATAAAGAAAGATATTGGATAACATTAGTATTGAATATATTTTGATAATTCAACAAAAATATTGATTGTTTGATAATAGTGGAAGCTGGCTTTTGGAAAAATTTTTTGGTATTGGATAATGTTGATATTAAAGATATTATGATTTAAAGGATAAAAAATGATATTGGATAACATTAGGATTGAATATATTTTTATATTAGAAAAAAATATTGATTATTTGACCACAGTGGAAGTTGGTTTTTGGAAAAAATTTTTGGTATTGGATAAGATTGGCATTAAAGGTATTTGGATTTTGAGGATAATAAAATATGTTATTGGATAACATTGGTATTGAATATATTTCGATATTGAAAAAAAATATGGACTGTTTGATAATAGAGGATGCTGACTTTTGGAAAAGTATTGAAATAGAAAGAAAGAGGTTTCAATATTGTTTTAAGGGTTGAAGTTGTTTTATGGGTTAAATAATAGTTTGTGAGTTCAATATTGATTTGAATATTAATAAAAATAAAAAAAATATAAATAAATAATATAATATGGAAAAAGATTAAACAACGCTAATTCACGGTCATATAAGACTATCATTGTTGCATTCGTTAGCTGAATTATAGTTAATGAAATATTTTATAGGTGAAACACATGTAAGGAAATTTTTTAAAGCAATAAACTAACATAAACGATTTGTTTTGAAAATTGGCTTTATCGTCAGTTTAAAAGTTGAAGAAGGATACCATGTCGATTATAAAAGAGTATTTTATTTTAAGTAATGAAGATTTTAAAATTATTGAAAATGTAAATGAAATGTTAAATGATATGCATATGTATAAATTTCAAGAATTATTAAAAAATGATTCAAATTCTATTTTCATTATGCAAAGTACTTTGTATTTACAAATGCTTGATTTAATTGTTCCAACTAGAGAAAGAGATAAACATATTCAAATAGTTTTTAGCGGTAATAACAATTCTGGTCATTGGATTTGTGTTTATTACGATGGAGTAAGACTTTATATTTTTGATTGCCTTAATGCAGGGTGTTTAAATATTCATCAAATAGAATATTTAATTAGATTGTTCCCTTTTAAACCAACAGAATTTTTTGTAGGTGTTGATCAACAACTGATTCGTACAGTTAAGTGTGAAGTATAATGCAATAGCATTTGCAACATCTGTATTGGTTAACAGTGTAAATTAAAAGATTAATTTATGAAACTGATAATAATATAATGAGCAAGCATTTGATATCATTTTTTGAAAACAATTAATTAAATCATTTTCCGGCAGTTAGAATGTCTAATATTAGGATTTCGATTTGTAGAGAATGATTGGAATTGTCTTTTCATAAATCGAGCTAAAGAACTTCAAAATGGTAAACTAAACCTTTCATATTTTTTAAAGACTTTTCCCAGTAAAAATGACAACAGAGTTCTGTCTACTGAAACTGAGAATGAAAAGAAAATACCCAAAGAAAAAAATTTGTCCTGTAAGATGAAGAAATTATCTACAGAAATTGAAGAGGGATTTACATGTTGATGTAAATTCAGTATGCACAACAGAAAATAATAAGAAAATAATTTCTAGTCTTATTGTTAGGAAAAATTTTGATCCCATGACATATCCTACAATGTTTCCTTATGGTGATCCTGGATGGACTGTTAACCTTAAGCATACTCAAGGTACTTGTAATTTTATTCATTTACAATTTTATATGTATCGTCTTTCATAGAGAAGAAAAAAGCGTGGATTGCCACATGTGCGTTTAACTATATGTTTACGTACACAAATCTGCGATTCAGAAACTTTAAATAAAATGATATGTGCTGAAATCACAGACGAAATAAAGAATCCAGAACTTTTTAACATTGTAAAGCGATTTTAAGTTCATCCGCCTTGTGGTAAACAAAATAGGAATTCACCCTGCATCTATCCTGAGATGGGTCATTTAAATGTATTGCTAACAATTCGATGATCGTAGCATATAATCTTTATTTGAGTACAAAATTTAAAGGTCATAATGACT